TTCTAATCCTACCTGTTTGAGGTTTCTCAATATTGATTTCTGCAGTGGTTGCACCTGTCTGCACTACCACCAACAAAGAAGAAGAGTTTCTAACTTCCCACAACCTTGCCATCATTTTTATTGGTTGATTTCTTGATAACAGCCCTTCTTTCTCCGTTGAGGTGGAATCTCAGGATTATTTTCATCTACATCTCTCAAATGACCAGTGACATTGAAACTTCTTCAAATGTTTATTTGCTGCTGTTACTTCTTTGTCTGAGAAAGTTCAGATGCTCATTTTTTAATTGGGTCTTTATTTTGGGGGGGCCTGATTTTTTTGAGTCCTTTATATATTCTCGATAATAGTACTTTGAGCAACAGCTGGTAAAATTTTTTTCCCACATTGTAGATTGTTTTTTAAGCTCTGTTGCTGGTTTATCTTGCAGTGCAGAAGCTTTTTTAAAAGGTGAGATCTCAGTTGTTAATTTGTGCTAGTTCCCATGCTACTGAGGATTTGCTCATAAAGTCTTTTCCTATGCCAATGTCTTCGAGAGCTTTACCTAACTTATCATTTAACAAGTTTAGCGTTTCTGCTTTAATATTTAGATATTTAATCCACTTGGATTTTACTTTAGTGCATGGTAAAAGATAAGAGTCAAGTTTTAATCTTCGGCAAGCTGAAATCCAATATTTCTAATACCACTTATTAAAGAGGCTATCTTTCTTCCACTGAGGATGGTTGGCTCCTTTGTCAAAGATGACGTAGCTCAGTATGTACAGAGTTGTTTCTGCATCTTGTAATCTACTGCACTGATCCTCATGTCTGTTTCTTTGCCAGTGTCGTGCTATTTTATCACAGTGGCTTTGTAGTATAGTTTCAGGTTGGGGATTGTGATACCCCCTGCAATGTATCTATTCCTAGAATTGCTTTTGCTATTCTAGGTCTCTTCTGATTCCAAGTGATTTTTTTTTATTGTTTTCTCTAATCCTGTGAAATATACTGTTGGGATTTCAATAGGGATTGCCTTGCATCTGTATAGCAATTTTGGTAGTATGGCTATTTTCACTATATTGGTTCTTCCTACCCATGAGCAAGGGATGTCTGTCCATTTTCTTAAATCCTCTCTCATCTCTTTTTCCAGAGTGTTGTAGCTCTTAATGTAGAGGGGTCTTTTGCTTCCTTCATTAGAGTGATTCTTAGATTTTTTTCTTTTTGGATACTATTATGAAAGGGATTGTTTCCCTAATTTCTCTCTCAGTGAGTCTGTTATTTGTGTACAAGAAGGCTATTGATTTTTGAGTGTTGATCTTGTATCCAATTACTCTACTGGATCTGTCAATTAAATTTAGAAGTCTTTTGGTAGAGGTTTTTTTTGTTTGTTTGGGCTTCTATGTAGAGTATGATATTGTCATCAAATTATGATAGTTTTACTTCTTCCTTTCCTATCTTTATTGCTTTTGTTTCTTTCTCTTGTCTAATTACTCTGGCAAATGTTTCTAAAACTGGATTGAACAGGAGTGGTGATAGTGGACATCCCTGTCTTGTTCCTGATTACAGCATGAAGGTTTTCAGTTTTTTACAATTTAATATGATGTTGGCTGTTGGTTTTTCATAGATACCTTTCATCAAGTTGAGATAAAGACCATCTATTCCAATTTTCTTCTGGGCTTTTATCATGAATGCTTGTTGAATTTTGTCAAATTGGCTCTTTTTCTGTATCTACTGAGATGATCATATGTTTTTTCTCCTTCATTCTGTTAATATAGTGTATTACATTTATCGATTTACATATGTTGAATCATCCTTGCATCCCTGGGATAAATCCAACCTGGTCAGGGTATATGATCTCCTTAATGACCCTCTGTTTTCCGTTTGCCAGTATCTTATGGAGGATTTCTGCATCTCTGTTCATTAGGGTGATTGGCCTGTAGTTCTTTTTTGGTTGGGTCTTTCCATGGTTTTGGAATCAAAGTAACACTTACTTCCAGGAATGAACTTGGAAGTATCACTTCCCTTTCAATTTCATTGAAAAGTTTAAAGAGTAGTGGCAGTAGTTTTTCTCTAAATGTCTTGTAGAATTCATCAGTGAAGCCATCAGGACCTGGGCTTTTCTTTGTGGGTAAATTTTTAATTACATTTTCAATTCCACTGATTGTAATTGGGGTGTTTAGAATTTTTATATCTTCTTCATTCATCTTTGGTAATTCATTGTAAAAGCTTTTTAAAGACTTCTTACATAGTTGTTCTTGTATCATTTTTCCTTATACCCGGATAAACACACACCAAAACACTGTAAGCAGCTAGTTTTAAAGCACAAACTAATATAGCTGAGATAAATTGTTCTCCACTTCTGGTAGAGACATGACACAAGTTTTGTAAAACACTTGTTGCAGCAAGAAATAAATTTACAGGAGTAAATTAGAACTGCCTGATTTTAGAAGAAGTCAGATACTGAAATAATAAAGACTTCAAAATAAATGAATTCTAGAAGCAGAAAAGCTGAAGTATATCATTAAGCAGAAAACACAGGAATTTGGTTATGTAGGGGAAAGAAGAAGAAACCATAACAAAAAAAGAAAAAGAAAATCAGTGAAAGTCAGGGATTACAATGTCTCCAAGGAACTGAGATGTGACAGATGATGGAGCAGGAGGAAGGTGATAGGGAAATGAGTAATATTAGACCAGACCATTTCAATACTTTCCTCGAACTCTTACTGGTGGACCATCACTGAGAGTGTGGGCCACAGATCCAGAGAGCCCTCCAAGGACTCCATCACTTCTGATCTCTTCCCACATTACAGTCTCTTACACTCCGCCCCCAATCAACCCTGGGCTGAAACGCTGCCTCAGCCATTTCTCTACTTTAGATTTGCCGAGCTCCATGTGGAGGATGCACCTTCTTCAGAAAGCCCTGTGGCAAATTCCATCATCGGAAAGCTTTGCTCAAATATTAACTTATTAGTAATTTATTACTATGTACTTTTTATTTAAAATAATGAGACCCCAGATCTCACAATCTTCTGTTATTTTCTCACAGTCACTTTCACCATCTAAGTTTTGTGATACTGAATTTTCGTCTGTCCACTCATTAGACCGGAAGCACTCATTTGTTTGCCTCTTCTGTTCATTGTTCTTTCCCTTGTATATAGATAGAATAGTGCCAGCCACACAGTAAATAGCCCCCACAAATTTGTCTAATCAATGAATGCAAAAATGTGATTTTCAGTACTGTCAGTAAAATTTAGAGTAATAAAATATTGGCTACTTTTCCAGAGTCACTTTTGTTTTGTTTTGTTTTTGGTAACTGAAGTCACCTTTTTGCTTATTTTCTGGGAAAATAATTAGTTCCACAGTGTTTTAATGGGGAATTTTGTTTTTAAAAGACTTTACAGCTATCTATCTAGGATCATTCAAGTTAGGCACACTCAATGCAGTGTCAAAAAGAACAAAAGTGCAATGCTGGGTGTGGTGGTGCACACTTGTAATTCCAGTATTCGGGAGGCTGAGGCAGAAGGATCACTGTGAGTTCAAGACCAGCCTGGGCTATATAGTGAGTTCCAGGTCAGTCTCAACTACATAGTGAGACCTTGTCTCAAAAAACAAAAACAAAAAAATAGAACAAAAGTGCAAAGTGCATTCTTTCAAGGCCTTTCTTATGAGTGTCAATAACATTTAGTTCTTAAAGGAAAAAGCTATGCATCCTAGAAACTAAATGGGCAAATGTTCAGTAGCATGATCATCAAGCAAATAGAATCATAAAAGTCCACCTTCACTTTCAAGAAGAGAAAACGGAGATCTACAAAAGTTAAACTGCTTTCTTACAGTCAGTTAAAGGAGAGCTGATGAGGTGATGGACAGGCGCTCAACATTAAAGAAGACCCAAGAGTCACAAAGTGGCCTATCTTCCCAACATCTTTTTATGTATGGTGAAGTCCAGATTGGAAAGGTTTGGTTCACCATTTGAGAAAGACCTTTATTTTCTCCAACTTGTTTCCATTTCATTGCTCAAGCACATTAATGAATGCATGCTTCAGTTTTTTCAACATTCAAGATTCTCTGCCTTATGATCATTACCAAAAGAAGGCATGTAATTACTTTCCCTAAGCATGTTCATCAGCCACTGTCTCACAAGCCCTGCTCAACATTTGGGCTTCACATTCCCTGTTGAGAACAGTGTAAGGCCAGCATATTCTACAAATTTCTTACTTTTTCAGTGGATGGTCTGTCAATCAACTCTCAAGAAATCAAATGGAATCAGCTTTCAGGTACTAAAAGTATGCTATTTGTCCTTTAAAAATAATGAATTCTGCTGAACAACTGCATAAATCACATTGTTTTAAGTAGGGAGAAAATAAGTACAGTGCTATATTTACTTCTCAAAGGTAGGAACAGTAGTTAATCAACACACATGCATTCCCTGATGTTATAATGGCACATGGGAAGATACTTTGGCAAAGACAGTCTATAAAATGAAGTTGCTATAGACCAAAAGCAACCATATTGATTTTAGTACAATTCAAAATGCAAGAAAGCATCAGTTTTCTGAATGGCACAAGCTGAAAAGGAAAGGCAGAAACACACTGCAAATAGCGGAAATAAAGAAAAGAATAAAAGACAATCACATTAGCAAACATCTTGGCGTTTTTCTAGGTCAAGTCTGAAGAACTCAGAGGGTTCAATTTAAACTGTCCTAATCTAAAAACCTAAGACTATTTGTTTGTGGACTTGGTGCTCATAGCTAGAACCTTGGGCATCCAGTAGACCTTTTTGAAATAAAGCCTTTGAATATTTGAATACTGTTTTGAAAGTACAAATATTTTTTTAATCACTATATCTGCCTTTTGCTGCAAACTGAGGAGCCTTCTAAACTGCACTATTAATATATCATTTGCCAAAATAGCATTAAGCTCACTGCATATACATGTTTTACTTGGGTATCTATCCTTAGTGAAACCAAATGACTTTCAACCCAGAGACCTGTAAACAGAGGGTCAGTAGAATGAGGGAGAGCTGGACTTACCACTGCCCTCTCACTTGTTCTTTGGGCAACTTCTCGCTGCAGTCGGGCCACAGCCAACTTCTCCCTGGAGAAACAAAAGCACATGATTAGCTGAGCATTCCCAGGGCAGAGGCGACACCACACGGCTGTGAAACATTCTTTCGGAGTCTCTAGAGGAACTCCTTCCTTTACTTAGGTCATTTCCTCTAAGATACTTTCCATAAATATTTAAAGCGACTAGTCAGTAGTGCATTGTTCTCATCTAGTGTCATGAAAGAATTTTTTTGCCTTGGGTTTTATAATAGCCAAATAAATGTTGAATGCTGAGTAAAAGCTTTTCTTGGAGTCCATTAAGACGTATCATTCGCTGACAAATTTTCTGTGGCTGAAATAATTCAGTTGTCCTTTCTATATCAACATTCCTTATATATTTTTAATAATCTTCATTTGTTTTGCTGTTATTTACTATTACAGAATTTTAAAAGCCAAAAAAGCATAGAGTCATACTATTCTTAATAATAGAAAAATAGAAAATCACTTGCAGGCTTGCTACATAATCTTTACAACTGCTGGGCATTTTACATATTCTCATATGAGTCTGACACTACACTATGTTTTATTAACCCCTTTCTGTAAAGAAACTGGGGATCTGAGCTGGTAAGTAAAAAAAAAAAAAAAACACTGAGCCTCAGTGGACACTCAGTGGACATGTAATAGTATTAGGATCAAGTTTCAGGTTTCCTTACTTCAAAGCCAAAATAAAAATTTTTGATATCATTTTTCAGGAGCAAGAAAATAGGAAAAAAAAATGAGAATTATAAATCAGTTTAGTTTAGTGTTCTCTCTTTAACAATAGGGTTCATCATATATTTCTTAAAATTATAATTCTGAGTTCACTTACAGTATATTGAATCTTCACCAAAATTAAGAATACTTTTGCAAAGTACTTGCATTTTGGACAGTGTTAAGGTTATTTATTAAATAGCTGATAGATAACATACAGTAAGTGACCTCTTAGAGTAATCCTCAAATCTTAGTTTTATCAAGATATACCCTGAAATTCTGTCACTGCCAAGATACGAAACTGAGTGATATCACATCCATTAGTCTGCCTGCTTCACACAATTAGTTATGTGAAAACACAGAGGAAACTACTCTCTTCCCAAATGAGCGAGATGATTTCTTCTACCTATCGACCAGGTCTTTCAAATGCCTCTGAATGCCAAGACAGAATGTGCTTTTGGTTGGTTAAGCCCAAGCAGTGTTCTTCTAGGAAAAGTTCTCGCCAAATAAAGGTCTAAAGGCATGGGTTGAACAATGGGCAAGGAGAAGAAGGAGATGTTCCAGGAACAAGTTTGAGAATCTGGAACAACAGCTGGGCACTGCCTGTCCCTGTAAGAAGGACCAACAAGTAGACAAGAGCCATCAAACGATGTAAGTCACATGTCTGTCTTTAAGGAGACAAGGCAGATGTCCATTTGTCCTTTGACTGAAGTCCTATGAAAAGATACAAGAATAAGAAGCAGAGCCGAGAGATGGATATGACTGACTTTCTCTTTCATGTGAAAAATTAAATGCAATCATTTATCTCTTTCTTCAGAAACCATTAAAAATGCAGCAAAGGTATAACATTGGTGGCCACTTATAAAGTGAAAGAAAACAGGAGAATATATTTTGCACTGTATGTATTAGCTTTCTTGTCACCAAGACACCACACTTAACAACCACAGTTTAGAGGAGAGGTTGAACTTGCTAGTTTCAGTCCATGACGGACAGACTCCGAGGCAGAGACATTATGATAGAAAGGGTGCGGCACAAGGAGAAGCTGCTTAGTTCATGGCAGCTGGGAAGCAGAGCAGGAGGGGTGCAGGCCAGACACAGGTCCCAAGGCCACATGCCCATGGCCCACCCAGACACACCCACAGTGTGCACCACTAACCCACAGAGTGGATCCCAAAGCAAATCAAATTAAAACTCCACTCTAACCGCCACACTCTGCAACACAGCCATTCTATTCTGAAGTAAATGCACAATGGAAATACAAACATGTCACTGCCAACAGACATACACTAGAATGACCATAGAAGACTATGTCTGAAACAGAAGATTTCCATCATCATTAGCAACAGAATAGACAAGTAAACTTTAGCACAGTCATACCTTAGGGTAGTGCATAGCACCAGGAAGAACTGAGAAGTTAAAACAGCATATGGAACTGGGCATGGTGGCACGTACCTATACTCTCAGCACTATGGAAAGGTGGGACAGACGGACTGCAAGTTCAAGCCCGGCCCTTGCACAACAGCTAGGCAGGAATCCAAACAAAAATGTAAAGAGCTGGTCTCAAAATCTAGAAAGCAGGGTTGGGGATGGGTAAATACATTGCCACAAATTAAATTTACATACGGAGCAAACCCCCTATCTATTTTGAAAAGACAAGAAAATAAAACACATCAAAATCAGAATTGAAGAGGTAAAACTGCCTGTTCAGAGATGACAATTTCTAAATAAAAAATGCTAATTTTAAAAACAACTATATGTTAATAATCACATCATAGAAGCCAATCACCTATGTAAAAATCAAATGCATATTTCTGCACTAACACAAATCAACTTAAAAATGAAATTTTAAAACACTGATATGACAGCATTAAAAAACAAAATATCTATGGAATAAAATAAAAATGACTTGCATGACTGCTGCACATAAACTACAAAACACTGCTGAGAAGATTAAAAGGAGACAGAGAGATAATACTACATTCATTGGTTAGAGGGCTTAATATTTTGTTGTCAAACTTTTCACCAAATTCATCTGTAAATTCTTTCTCACCGGGTTGTATCCCTTCACTACAGCAAGCAAAGGAAAAAATATTATTGGTTATGATTTTTTAAGGCTCTACTTCAAACAGTACCCATTCCCCTTACTATCCAGCAGTCAGTAGGTATACTAAGGCCCCAAATACTTTTATTTTCCAGTGCTTGGGATCGAACTCAGGATCTCGCATTTACAAGGCAGGTGCAGTGCCCCTGAACTAAATCCCCAAACCAAGAAAGACACCACTGGAAACAACGAATTCTACACAGAAAAAGAGAAAAGGGAATTCACTTTACTTTTCTTTTCTTTGGTTAAAGAGAAGCCTTTACACAACAGCTAGGTAGGAATTCAAACAACTACAAAACCTGACTACAGGGAGAAGGCGCAGAGTCCCAAAGGATGATTCTGTGTAGAACATCAAAGCCGAACCAAAAGGAGATACCTCTGGATCATAAATACTGAGAAACGTGTTGAGTTCTAGGACAAAGTTGGCTAAGCATCAGAAATTGGAACACAAAGCACAGGCCAATGACAGAAAGTGGAAAATGCTAATTCTAGGGAAAAGCAAAGCTATTCTAGATACGCAATGCTAGAATTCAGACCTAGCCATGAATGGCATTTATTTTCTCATTTTAAACATCTCACAATTTAATTTAAAAATTAGAGACAAAGGAAAGCATGGAAAGGCAAGTGACACAGAAACACTAGATCCTGATCTTCCACAGAAGGAAAACAATACACAATTTCTAAAACTAACCAATGTAGAATTAGGAGTACAACATTACTTAAATAAAAGGATGGAAACTCAGATAACAGTTCAAACATGGAAAGTGGCTATGTCAGGGCAATAAAAGCTAGAAGCACAAAGGGAAGGGTACACCTCTTAAAAATCGTAGCACTGCATATAATTTCCTAACTATGCATGTGTTTATAAATATCTCAAAAATATATGTTCCTGAAACAAGTAGTCGTGTGCTGGGACCATAGTTCAGTGGTAGAGCGCTTGTCTAGAATGTTCAATCCTCAGCCCTGCAGAAATAAATAATAAACCACTGATCAGCTCACTTTAACTTTTATAAAGATATTATTATAATGTATTACAAAAAAGGACAGATTTTTCACAACTGAAGATTTGGCACCAAGTAATCATCATGGTCCTGAAAGAACCTGTTGAAAAGATTTGGTTAATTAAGAAAAAATAAGATCTAGAAACTCTTGTATAAATGTCTTAAAGTACATGCTACAAATACTTTACCATCTTACAGAAATGCTTTTCTTTTTATTTTTTTCTTTTTACATTTTCTTTTTACTTTTTTAAATGAAGTAAAATTTTAGAAAACAAGAGCACAGCTAAGTGCATATGAATACGATTGGTTGGTGAGCAACAGAGAAGCTTTTTCAAATTTATTCTGAAGTTGTGAGAAGTACAATTTCCAGATAAATTTCAGTACAATTTCCAGGCTACCAGATAAATATCTGAATAAATTTCAACAAAGTAAATTCCTATGTAAGAAACTCTGAATAAGGGAATAATAAAACACCAGTTCTCAAACATTTGAGTCATAGGATCTGTGTACACCAAAACACTGAAGACACAAAAGAGCTTTTGTTTTTATGGGTTATACCTCTTGATGTTTACCCTGCAAAAATGAAAATCAATATTTAAGAAAATTCTCAGTTGATGAAAATATAATAAATGCATATTAACATTAACAAAACAGCTTTATGAAGAAAACCCTATGCTGCAAAACATAAATTTCATAAATGTGAAACATACCTCAAATATCTGTTATAAGATGGCTGATGGATTTTCACATTTGCTTCTACATGCAATCTACTGTAATAGCACATGTCATGTAGCTCCTAGAAAACTCTACACATGAAAGGAAGTTAAAGAGGCAAATATTTTAGTTATTATGAAAAAAGTTTTGACCTTGCAGATACACTGAAAGTCTTGGGGCCACCAAGGGTCCCAGGAGGACACTATGAGAACATCAACTAGAAGACAGATACAAAACTAGGAATAGAAGACTGTTCTGGAAAATTGCCTTGGGTCATCATTCTTGATTGCTGAATCCTCAGAGGAAATTTTAATATATATGCTAATGGCATGTTAATTTTTCACAAAGCTAGTTTAACATAAAAGAGACACTTCTATGAACAGAGCAAGAGTTTATCTTATCACTATCATTCTATTAAATGATAAGACTTAAAACAGTATACAGGTTAAGAACATTACTATTTTATGCTTAAGAGATAACCTTTAT